TACTTATATTCATATAAATCATTTGCTATTTCTTATCATTCGTCAAAACATGTAATTAAAGATTTAGATCCAATTTAGATCTGGTTTATTAGTTTATCACTAAATAATATTTATGATATCGGTTCATAATTGTAATGATATTTATATTATTTACTAGATTTATCAGTCGGGAAGTGTTTTCGCTCCGATGAAGAAAGTTGTGGCGAAAAAACTGGTTTTCATATGAACCGAGGAAGGAATTTCAGTGAAATTCATACAATTCACACAAATCGATATAACTTATGTAGAGAGAAAGATATATAAAAGTTGTTAATTTTTATGTGGTATTGTTTTAAAATATGTTTGTTTAAACTGTTCACATCTAACTTTTTGTTTTGTGAGGCGTCCTCCTTTTGAACTAGGTGTAAGTGGCATTTTGCCTTAAGCCAAGTTGCACAAATTTCTCTATATGTGTAATAATTGACTTAATCAACCGAAATTGGGCTTAGAGGGCGTCAATTAATCACGTGATCGATTTTTTAGGGATTATTGCTATTCAATGTATCTCGATGAGGACTATCTTTTCTCAATTTTGTGCGATGATCGGCCGAGCCGTTTCTTTGCAATCTGGAAAAAAGTGTTTTCGTCCACAATTAAACTCATTCTACCGAATCGATTTTGAAAAATCAAAAAATGTTCGAAAGATATTAGTTGGAAATGATACTGATTATTTTTGGGTGAAAATCTACCGAGCTGTTTTCTTGTAATTAACTATTGAAAAATAAAATTTAGCCGAGTTTTATGGAACTTTTCTTGGAGATATATATAATATATATATATATATATAATATATATATATATGGTCTTATGGAAAACTCACTGAAATATTACGGCCTTACGATATGTAGTTTAATTTTAACACTTCATAAAAGTTTGAGAAAATGAGTACATCTTTTGACATTTGTTAAAATCAAAATTAGACGATTCACTTCATATAACGATAGAGTACTTGGTCTTAATGAACATACTAAACCATTAAAGTCCTACGGAAACTGGTTCAATTACAAAAATTGTTTATTTTTGAAAATTTGCTTTTAGAAAATACTCCGACTTAACGTGTTTGCTTGTTTTCAATTATGTATAATAAATCCACTCGGAATACTTTTAATCGCTCATAAATTAATTTATCTATCATGGATTAGGTCCATTATTTACACATATCGAGAAGTTCATGTAACTTGCCTCAAGGCTAAATACTAAAACTAACTTAATTATTTAAATTAATGATAACATTTCTTACACAACTAGAGAAGTTTTGTAGGTATAGCTGTTTCTGAGAAAATGTCGATGAAATTCAAACTTTGACTCACCGCCTCACAAAAGAGACTTTTAACACAAATTTTACATACCATTTTTTTAAATTAAACAACTTGTAGTTATGCCATAATATTTTAGTAGTTATATAAGAAGACCGTGATTTCAATAATTATAAAAACAAGAATGAAAATAGTCCGAAAAATGTTATACAACATTTAATTACAAATCTTACTATCCTGCTATTTACAAAGAAACGGCTTGGCTGATCGTCGCGCAAAACTGACAAATGATAGTCCTCATCGAGATACATCGAATGGCTTTTAAATTTTTGAAATCGGTCCAGCCGTTTTTGAGAAAACGTCGGCGAAATATAAAAAATCAGTCTACAGAGTTTTATTAAAATACTAAATTTGGATAAAAGTGTCTAAGCTGAAATCAGATTTTTTGGCAAAAACAAATTTCTTCGAAAAGTTAATAAAATAAATTGGAAATCATTTTATCATTACATCTGTATTGTGTTATAAATATTTTAATTATTACTTGTTTTTTTTTTAGGAATTTTTTATTTATTTATTTCTATATCCAATATTTTTTATAACCGACTCCTTCATTCTTCTTGCTTTTCTGACCATCCTTTTTTTTGTAATTTTTGATTCTACTCTACCTCAAATTAACCATTCAAATTCTACTTAATTTCAATCCAACAAATCAAATGACAATTCCATGTCAGTGCCAGGACTCGAAACTAGTATCCTTGGCGTGTGAGTCGGGCATGCTACTGACTGAG